CCCCCCCACCCCTACCAATCGGACCGTATCATAGCCAGGGACACAGGGAAGTTTTTCCCCTCCAATCTTGATTTTCACTCTCACATACTCAGACTGGTGGAAAGATCACAGTTTGGATCCCCATTTGAAATACAAGTAAGCCCTTTTCATCGTAGGAAAGTTAAAGAGAAGGTAAATATACCGGGCCTCTACTTCCCATCCCATGGGTCCAGCCAGTTCACAAATAAAGTATCAGAGAAAGGAGACCTTCCACTCCACGCAATTGGTCTGGTGTTGGCATTATTGTATGGGAAACTGGTCTCCTAGTCAATACCGGTATAGTATAATAGCAACAAGTGAGCGATCCATTCGTGGGAACACTTGAGTGAATGTTATCACTGGCAGCTGTGTTCAAAAATTATGACAGCATACGAGTGGAGGTATTGTACTGTAGTAGATATTGAAACCTTAGCAGCTCATACGGCCACAAGATGCTCCTTTCATCGAGATAATAATATTACGATAACTTTGTGCTGAAGAATTTCAATTTTGCTGCCCCTAAGTTATCTTGCAGCCACGTAAAGTCTCCCGCTGTTTATTCCTATGCACTCTTTTCTTTGACACGATTAAAAACTCTAGTGCACTAGGCTTGAATTAAGGGGAAAATATAACTTAATCAGGCTCGGACGTGTAGCAATACAATACAGTACAGTGGGGTGGAAGGAAGTAGTGCAATACCATTGCAACGGCATCCTCCACGATCGCATCTCCGCTTCCAATCCCCTTATTGTGATATCACCTCTATCCTTCACAGCCCTCTAACCCTTCTCAAAAATCAATACGCAGGTAAAAGGAACCTGCCGCAGTGAACATAAGTAGTTTAATTAAATAAATATACATAGGTACTTGAGAGAATAATAAGATAAAATAAAATAGCAATCTATCCAAAAAACATTGAGCAATGGTGATTATTGACTAAGAACAAGCAATGCTTTGAGTGAGGAACTACCCAAGATGACCAGGTCCAAATTATTGCCCTACGAGAAATAGCAGAATGGTCTTTCACAGCGATAGCTGCTAAATTGGAGGAAAAAACTGGCCTCAAAGTACACCATATGTCACGAAGGTGGCTTGGCATGGAGAAGGTTTTCATATGACTCATGATTATGAGTTATAGGTATGTTATTGTTTCGCACATATGACTCATTTAGGTCATATGCCTTGCACATATGATTTATGTTTTACACATGACCTCATTTTGAGGTCATGGGGGGGCACATGTGACCACTTGGGGTCATATGAATTGTTTATTATATTATAATTGGTTTATGAGTTTTCGCACATGACCTTGCTATGAGGTCATGGGTTTTGAGCATGTGATTACTTTGGTCATATGATTAGTTTGTTATAATTTGATTTCGCACATGTGACCACTTTGGGTCAGATAACTTAGGACAGGGAGAACACTATATAAGGAGGCCGGTATGGCTGAGAAGGATCGGTTCTTCACGCTTGGTTCTAAGTACTTTTCCTCGTCCTTGCTGTCACTTCACCTTGGAGCGTTTCTATCGCACCCACGATAGGCTTTGATGCTGGGGATTCTGGAGGAGATATCTGAGTTCACTTAGTAGTTCTTAAAATTCTTGATGTTGAGGTCTACTTGCATTACGTGGTGGATTACTTGTTTGCACTGTTTTGTCACTTACTAGTTATCTCACTATGCTGGCACTTCAAGCTCTTCATCGCAGTTACTTATAAGCCACTTTCAGTAAAATGTCTTCAACTTCCTGTCTATCATCTACTTGCAGGTTTTGCGTTCGATTGGGGGCATTGAACATTGTATATGGGGGGATCACCCATGTCATTCTTTAGGCCGGCTCATGTTTCTTGTTGGGTTTTATGGAGTCCTTAGTTCACACAATATAAAATGCCCACGAGTTCACTGGATGAGCGTCCTGTATTCTCAACTTGTCGTACCAGTCGCATCACCTCTCAGGTGACAGGGCAGTACCTGCCCAGCCCCTCCTTGTTACGTGATGTTTGTACGGTTGGAATCCTACAATACTGTTTATCGCCATTGTCTTGCAGTTTTTGTCCTTGCAGTATTTACAGTAATTCAGTCAGGTGTCTCCTCCTCACCTCGGTGGGGATAGCTTTGACCCTGAAAAGACTTACTCCTTCGTGTGGCTTTTGTTACTACCTGGTGTGGTGTGGGACAATTGACTGCCGGACACTCACGTTGTCTGTGTATTTGGGTAGTTCGGCTGTGGATTGTGGTTGGTGGCTTTATCCATTGCAAGTAGGACCTACCTTCTGTTTGTCTACTTCTGTTCGCTTGCACTCCCTCTTCCTGTCATGTCAGTTGGAGGTGCCTCTTGCCCATTGTTTGGTCTGTGCCTGTTACCAGACCTGTGGGGCTGGCTCTGGCTGGCTCTGCTTACTCTTTCCCCACTTGGTTAAACTTTGGTTCAGCTTAGTTGGATGGCGTAGCTGGTATCTATACCTTCGGGTATTGGTACTGCCTCCTTTGTGACTCCCAGCTGTGGCTGGTAGGTCCACCTCGACTAAGTAATATCGGGGGTTGGGGCTCTGTTGGTGTAGCCAAGACTAGTGACTATCTGATGGGGCTAGGTATAGGAGGTTCCATGGCTGTCGGATGGTTGATCTGTCTAAGGGGTTGAGGAGGCTGGATGGGCTCCGTGATATCTGGTGCGTGGGGCTTAGGGGTGGCTGATTGAGGGAAAAGAGGCACCTGTGAGCACTGGTCAGGCCTGCGTCAGGTTGGGAGAGGTCTAATTAAGTGTTTTCAGTCTAGCTTGGACTGTTGGACGAAGCTGCTGAGTGCTGTAAAGCTCCTTGATAGACCGGCTGACTGATAGCTACCTGTGCAGATAGTGTGTTGCAACCACCTACTTGGACTTATTTGGGCCTTGCAGGCTAGGTTTTGTAGGGTTTGTTTAGTTTCTTTGGCTTGGTTTTAGGTACTGCAGGAGGGGGCAAGGCACCGTGGGTGGGAGATAGGCCCCACTGATCTTCTTGTTCCACTACTATATCACAAATGTGGCTTGGTGAGGAAAAGGTTTTCATATGACACATGGTTATGAGTCACAAGTATGTTATTGTTTCACACATATGACTCATTCGAGTTATATGATTTGTTATGTGTGGGATTTGTGATGCTTTCGCACATGGCTCAAATATGAGTCATGGGACATGTGCCTGACAAGTATGCCTTACAAGTGTGCCTTGCGGGTAGGCCTTGCACATATGATTTATGTTTCGCACATGACCTCGTTATGAGGTCATGGGTTTCACGCATATGACTCAGTCGAGTCATATGACTTGTTTATTGTATTATGATTGGTTTATAAGTTTTTACACATGACCTCGCTATGAGGTCATGGGTTTTGAGCATGTGACTACTTTGGTCACATGACTGGTTTGTTATGATTTGGTTTCGCACATGTGATCACTTTAGATCACATGACTACAGACAAGAAGAACACTATATAAGAAGGCCGATGTGGCCAAGGAGGATAGGTTCTTCATGCTTTGTTCTAAGTACTTTTCCTCCTTCTTTCACCCTGTATCGGTAGTGAAGGTTCAGTTACGATCCAATCAGATCCCTTGATTTCTATCTCATGATAGGCTTCAAGTCTTTAACTTCGAACACCTTTTGGGGACTTCGTTGTTATACCTCCTCCTACATTTGCTGAAAGTCTTCTCTTCCTTCTACTTATTCTTTCAGTTGTTCACTACGGTCGTCTCCTCACAGTCGCAATGGCTAAGCAAGCCTCCGCCCCCTCTGCCACATCCACTGTACATTCGTCGGTTGTTCTGTCTCATGCCGTCGAGAAGCACTTCATACTAGAGGCCGAAGTTTCTCACCTTTAGCATCACAT